ATTTGATATTCAAAATATTAGGTAGCTGAGATTGTTGAAAATTTGGAAGACTAATGTAGATGTCTTCAAGACTGAATTAACTTATGCTATGACATTGTGTCCCTAGAGAGGTAGTGTTATCAGTAGATTTTGATTCTGTATATGTTATAGTTAATTTTCATTTCAGTTAGTTTTTATTTTTCTATTGTTTCTGGGTACGAGAGGGCCCAGAACAAGGATATTACTAAGGAGAAAAAGGTGAGATTTACGTGAATTACATGTTAGTGAATATGTTGCAGTAATTTTTTCTCCTTAAGTCGCCTAAAGTCGCCTTAAATCGCCTTAAGTCGCGCAACATTTTGACCAAATTTTCCTAAAGTCGCCTTAAATCGCCTTAAGTCGTCTAAAATTACGGCGACTTAAGGACCCAGAGTAGGCCTTAGCAATTTGGTGAAATTTAATCCCTGTAAGTGCAAGGATCTTGTTTTCCGGGAGAAGAGACATAAAGATGTTTATTTCAAAAGGTTGAGTTTGATCGTCCGGGTGAACGTAGTCCAAAATGGGACTGTTGTTGTTGACAGTGACTGACGTTTCGACAACCTGTGCGGTAGTCATCTTCAGAGACAAAGTGAGTTGTATCACGTCCGTTGATGGTATTATACTCTGGTTATTGATCTGATTGGTCAATTATGTCGCGATGTTATTGGTCGTCTGTCAGTTAAGCCGTGATGTTATTGGCTATGAAGACTCGTAATCAGTCATTGGTGCGTTTCGATCCGTCTATTGTCACAGTTAAACAGTCGTCTATTGTTAGTCAAATTGTCAGTTCTGCAGTTGTTCTCTCGTAGTTACTTTTGCTTGATCTCGTCAATAAGTCGTTTGTACGGCGCTGGTAACTGCTGGCTACAATTCAGTGGCGTTTGTTCTAAGTTAGTAAATCAGCTTTCTAAAGTAAGACGTTGATTGTAGTCTGTAGAATACGTTATACATGTCGCAGAGTCCCAGTCAATTTGATGTTTCGTCTTTAAATGGTGCTCAGCAATGTGATTGTTGACGTCACCATTCCTCGTCGCGCGTTTGTGTTCGGTCAGTCGCGTGCTTAGGTTTCTGCCGGGTTCACCAATGTAAGAAGCCTGGCAGTCGCAGCATTTGATCTTGTACACTGCTCCCTGTCTGTCCTCCGGTTTGTCTTTGTCCTTGACATTAGTAAGCAGTCGCCGTAAAGTGGTTATCGGTTTGTGCGCAACACGTATATTGTAAGGTTGTAATATACGTGCAATAGTTTCAGAGGTGCCTCTGATGTACGGTATAGTCGCTGTCGTAACAGGGCCAGAGTTGGTCTGAGAGTTGGAATCAGTGTTACTGTGAGTGATCCGTCTAACAAAGTCCGTGTTGTAATTGTTCTTACTAAAATCGTTGTTAAGATAATCAGTCTCGTCTTGTAGGCTGTCAGGTGAGTCGCAAACTAGTTGCGCTCGTCTCGTAAGATATGACTTCAAACATACCACAATGCTCCAGTCTCACTGTCCTTGGACTTAATTTCAAGCAAGACTGTAGATATGATAAGCATGGTAAGGACAAGCTGGCTGAGGCCGATAAATGCCTCAATGTTATAAGATTTTTGCGAAAGGAGGGACGCAGTCAGCTTGATGTAAATTATTTTTTTAAGACCATGGTTTTACCCAGTGTCACCTACTCACTAGTGGTATGTGGAGCCTCAGAGCCAAAAATAGCAACAGTGCAAGATTTTCTAGAAAGGCGCCAAAAAAAGCGATATATTTCAGTTAGATTAAATGTTACAGCTTTATTAGAAAAAACAGTATCCGGACAATACCAGTATCCGGACACTTAAACAACAGCGCAATTTTTGAGGTGCCTTTTTCAGTCAATATAGTTCAACACCACTTAAACATAGCATTGTTGAACGTATTTTTTGTATTTAAAAGGTAGATATAGGCATATTTTTATCCCCTAAAAATGTTTCATCTGTTGATTTCCTAGCTGAAAGTCTAGTGATCCGAAAATTATAGGGATCAATACTTACCTTTTCGAAAATTTCAGCCAGAAAATAGGCTCCCGAAAATTCTAGTTGACCTATTTAGGGTAAAAATCCGTTAAAAGTGGGCAATTGTACCATTTTTTTAGATGTTCAAAAATCCTAGGAGAAGCAGGCAAGCAAGAAATTTACAACAAATGTTCCGAAAATTCTAGATCTCAAATCGTCTTCCGAACAGATATTTTCCCAAAACTGGCTTGGGTGCCCCTGTTCAGTTCTCGGCAAACGAAGAATTTAGAAGGAAAAAAATAAAAAAAGGAAATCGTGAAATTTCTGAACTAGCTCATGAATCAGAACTGAGAAAAACCCACCTACATTTCGTGGCGATCAACAGTCGTCATTCAAAAATCGATTCTCGCTTGCTCGCTTGCAAGAGTGGAATTTGTGGCTCGAGATGATTGACATTGATAATAAACATCCAACGCTTTGAATGGATAAGTACAGTGTCAAGGAAGGTTTTGAACTTACTTGAGAGCGCACTTCGGCACCTTGACGTTTTGAAGTTTCTGTGGCAACTAAGTACAACTAGTCAAGATCAGTCAAGTGAAAAAGGACCCGTTCACACAAGCTAGTCTCAAGTGCACTTCAAATGCACTTCACAGTGCACTTGAAAAGTCCAGTGTGAACCCACCTAAAGGTTAAAGTACACACTGAATCCTATTCACTACTTGCCTTCAAGACTATGAGCTCTTTTTGGCTTGCTTCTGTCATGGACGTTCAGGTTATCGTAAAGTGGACGATGACATATACTTGCACATCCCTAAGATGATCTGGTGCCTGAAAATGTCTTCTTTACCCGAGAAGCTATATGATGGCAAAGTGCAAGACGGGGTTGAATTCAAAGTTATTAAAGATCCAAAGGATAAATGGTTCATTAGTGAACAATTTCTGAACGACTCTTGGTTCCCTGCATACTTTAACGGGCCCTTTTATATTTTATCTAAAAGCGCTTTCCTCGGATTACTTTTAAGTAATGTGCCTTCATTTAAGGATACCTTAAAAGGTATCCTTAAATGAAGGCCCGACACATTTTCCCTTAGAAGACACCAATATTGGAATATTGGCAAGAAGAGTTGGAACGGGAACAAATTTAAACGTAAACCCCAAACTGCAAACAATGTTCGTCCTACTTTCCCTTTAAACATAGGGGGTGAATATCCAGAAACAACCAGTTTGTTCTGCTATAATGCACTTGTAATTCAACCATTGTTGTAAACACGTAAACACATGGTGAGTTTTCCGGAGGGTCGTAAAAAAAACATAGAAACATCTTGTCGCGCTAACGTAAATCTTCAGGTTAATCAAACTTGTCCGGATTTGTCTTTGTTCGTTACCCCGGCCGTCCTTTATACGTTTACCTCATATTTTCCCGGCACATCTTTATATTCTACAAAGCTGTTACAGTTTTAATTTTGGAATGTGGACTTGAGGAGTCTTGAGTTTTTGCCAGGTAAACAATGAAAAGGAAGATCCCGAACTTTGCCCATAACACGTAAACAAGTGAAAAAAGAGGCTGCAAAGCCTTAAGAGACCGTCTTAAGACCAATGCACATTTGACAACGTTTGTCGACTGAGGCCCTTTGGCTGCAAGTTTTTAAGGTGAATAAAATAGGACTTCCTGGCTTTATTTGTAAAAACAACCGATATTTTGTGGGCGTTTTTAATAAAACAATTATTTCACTCGCGCTTGTTGGATATAAGATGATCATAGCCAACTCGGCGCTCAAAGCGCCTCTATGGCAAACTTACCACCTCATATCCAACGCGCACTCGTGGAATAATTGTTATTATTAAAAACTGAATCATTGGGTAATGCAATTCGAGCATTTTGATTGGCTTAGCCGTTATGGTATATGAGCTATTATACCATGCTCTCCATATATGGTCGGTGTACGCGTCAGTTTAAAATTGGAAGCTAGCTAGCTGAGTTTTTTTTTTCGCGAAGGATAGAACGGCGCCTGAAGCAAATCGTTTTAATTCATTTCTTAGAATACTAGAAATGCAATTTCATCGAAAGAAAAAAGACAAAAACAAACAAAAAAGCCACAAGAGCTTGTTTGAAAGTTTGTCGAAAAACACGTGAAAACCCATGGAACTAAAGTACCTTGACCAGCCACGAAAGAAGACAAGTGTTGTTTCTTTATGATCGCGATAAGCCATTCGCCGATCGAGTCACTCGCCGATAGACAACTGCGGCTTGTTTATCCGACATCAAGAATATAAATCACAAGTAACCAGCTACAAATACAGGCTATACAGCCATTCAATAGAGCAATCGAGGCGGCAGTATAGCTTCTTTTCTCTTTCAGCAAAACCAGCTTGTGGCTTCAAACAACTTCATAACAAGCGACCGAGGTAATAGTTTTTCTCCATTGTTCTTACTTTTATAACTGCACCGAAAATCCAAATTCACAGTAATTTCGACGGCTGTCACTTAAAAATTCTTTTCCTTCACATTATCTGCCAGCTTTTTTTTAGCTGTTCTGCTGTGTAAAATCCTAGAATCCCGGTGAGTTTTTAAAAAACTAATGTTCATCGCTACAATGTTTTGATTTTTCATTCATGCAGTCCAGGCCAGTCCGTTCGCGCGTTGACAGTTTTGATAGACGTGTGACATGTGAATAGCGAAAGTCCCTTGTCTTTTCTGGTTTGTTCTAGTCGGGGAGATTCAACGAGATTTTGTGGGCGTTTTTAATAAAACAATTATTCCACTCGCGCTTGTTGGATATGAGATGATTATAGCCAACTCGGCGCTACGCACCTCGTTGGCTATCTATCATCATCTCATATCCAACGCGCCCTGGTGGAATAATTGTTAAATGTGACAAATCCGAAGTTAACGTATCTAATTTAATGACTATTTGTCAATATCAGTCGACGAGGCGTTATCGGCTCAACCTTAGGAACTTATTGCCCCTGAAACATCTAGTCATTGTACATGTCTAGTCGAGCTAACGTAAACATCATGATGCGCTTCAGGGTAATCAAACTTGTCGGGATATTTTCTTTGTTTGTTACCGCAGTCTTCCTCTATACGTTTAGCGAATTCGTTCCTGGCACATCCTCATATTTTACAAAGCTGTTTCAGGAACGTTCAACGAAAGAAAACCATATGTCAACAAGAAATCAAATCCAACTCATCCAAGCGAATGAGCAGTTAATTATTTTCATTACAAGCGCGCCGTTTTACACAAGCAGAAGACTATCTATACGTCAAACATGGTTGTCTCTCTTAGTAAGCAACTCTGTTGCGCGAAGACGATCTAACATACGAACACTTATGAAAAACCCTTCAAATTCACCCAGTAACTTGGTTATCCACTACTGGTTTGTTTGCGGACATGACACAAACGTGGACGTTGAATTCGTCGTGCGGAATGAAAGCGCCGTTTACGGCGACATCTTAAGGCTGAACTACACAGAATCCTATTCACTACTTGCCTTCAAGACTATGAGCTCTTTGTGGCTTGCTTCTGTCATGGACGTTCGGTTTATCGTCAAAGTGGACGATGACGTATATTTGCACGTTCCTAAGATGATTTGGTGGCTGAAAACCTCTTCTTTACCCGAGAAGCTATATGCTGGCGCTGTGCAAGACGGGGTTGAATTAAAGGTTATTAGAAATCCAAAGCATAAATGGTTCGTTAGTGAACAATTTCTGAACGACACTTTGTTCCCTCCATACTGTAACGGGCCCTTTTATATTTTATCTAAAAGCACTCTTCTCGAATTACTTAAGGTGTCCTTAAATGAGGGCCTGACACCTTTTCCTTTAGAAGACGCCTATATAGGAATATTGGCAAAACGAGTTGGAATCGCGCCTTTACAGCTTAACGGAAAACATGTCCTCATTGCCGGGCCATGGGTGGGAATTGGTTTGGAAGATAAAAAACTTCACGATTTCTTCGCATTGGGACATGGGTTGTCCACTGAACGAATGTTCAAACTTCATGCAAGATTCACTAACTAAAGACAACTGACGAAAAGACAACGATTGCCTTGTTCAGTAACACCTTTAAGTGTCAATAGCAAAATGTTAATGATCGCCGTTAAATATGAGAACATGATTTAGAGTAGTACAAAAAATACATGTGCATGTGCTGCTTTCTAATTTTCAAGATCATCATGGGCTCCTGAATGGTTAGATATTTCTTAAAATAGTTTTGCTCGTTTATTGAGAACATGAATTGAACTTGTAATTATTTCCATGCGGTTTTCATGTATGTTATCAAACCTATCGTATTGGTCGTTGTAAAAATGCATTCATTCATTCATTCAAATAAAGGAAACAGAAAGAAGAGGATAACATTTAAAAAGAAGGAAATAAACGTGATGGACAGAAAGAGGCATAACCGTTTGTGACAACAGGAACAAATTTCAACGTAAAACCCAAACTGCCGACAATATTCGTCCTAGTTTCCCTTGAAACATAGTGGGTTAATATCCAGTAACAACCAGTTTGTTCTGCTAAAATGCACTTGTAATTCAACCATTGTTGAAAACGCGTAAACAAAAAGTGGGGTTGCCCAAGGGTCCTAAAAAAAAACAAAGAAATATCCAGTCGCGCTAACGTAATCAGGGTAATCAAACTTGTCCGGATTTGTCTTGGTTTGCTACCCGGCCATACTTTATACCCTTAGCCCATTTTTTCCCGGCAAATCTTCATACTCTATAAAGATGTTAGTCAGGAACGAGAAAGATAGATGATAGATTAGATTAGATAGATAGTTTATTCACCTTAAAAAACTTGCAGCCAAAGATCAGAGCTAAATTGCGATAAGGTTTAGAAATGCAATAATTTACAACTGTAATAATTTACGACTGATATGTAAAAGAAAGATGATCCGGCATTATTTACAATTCAAATTTAAAACTGTTGTATGCAAAATCACAAATTCAAATGCATGCGTCAAGTTTCTATATACAATAAGAAACAAAATTATATCTAGGTCTCAATTACTGTAAACATAACTTCCCAATAGTGAATAACATCAATTTTCTCCTAACAATATCCATGTCAAACAGATAAGGTTATGAGAATTAACAAAATGATCGCATAAGGGAAAATGCTTTGATATTTATCAAATTATCTCAATTCATGCATGAAAGAAATGTATAGAGATCAGTTTAAAGAATTTGTATGTGGATATTGGGGCTTAAAGGGTTAAACGAAAACTATTCTTGCATCTTTCAGTTTTACAGTTTGGACGAATAAATGTTATGTGTTCTCTCAGAGAGTAGATTCACGTGCACCCAACGACAGTTTTCTGTAAAATATCTATCGGAGAAGCAAAAATTGCCTAGAATTTTCTATACTTTGAGGAAGGCTAAGAACTTCTAAATGACCGTTCCATTCATGTACAATTTTCGAAGCTTATTTGATTAATTACCTACGATTTTTAAAGTTTAATTTTTCGCATTTCACTCCCCATATTAAGCTATTTTTCTCAGAAAAAGGAAACGTAAAATTTTCGGATTCGAAAATGCGATGGAAAACTTTAAATTGCATCTCAAAATTTCGGGAAAATAATACTGAAGCCATGGTAATTTCGAAAAGACTTAAGTTTCCCAAGGATGACCCATTCTCGTCCCCAGAGCCCGTCGTTTCTTGGTCACGTGGTCGGGAAACGAGGGGTTATACTGGTCGGTTACAAATTAAGCCGAGTGGCTCTGGGGACGAGAATGAGGATGACCGAACAGATACAAATTTTATAGCATCAATTAGAATATATTTCAAAAGATCTAAAAGTACTCAGAATAGCCTAAACTTTGTGTTGTCAATGCATTTTGGAGAAAACCGTCGTTGGGTGTCCCTGTATCTTGGCTGATATTTACTTGGAAGTAGTTTGTGGAGACTGTGAATTTGATTAGCGCACATTTCATCGAATTAACGACTTTGCGCAATTACCCCTCTTCCATCATGCACAGTCAAAATTCCGGACAGCTCTAGAGCCTTATAATAATTATGATAGCTCAGGGTAAATAATCTTCATAGCGCGTTTTTGCAGTCTTTCTAGGTCTTCGCTTAGATAACTTGGCAGAGCGCGATGAAAAACTGGGCAGCTGTCCTTCAGAATAGAGCGAATGGATGTGATGTAAAATAGAAGAAGCTCTCTTATAGCAACATGCGATTTCTTATTAAGCTGTCTTTTATAATCTTGTTGAGATCTTTCTAACTAGTTCTGACACAAGGACATTCCAGTTTAAATCACTGCTAATATCAAGTCCTAACAATTTCACAGTGTTCACAGTCTCTAGGGTCTGGCGGTTAAACGGAACGTTTAACGAAAGAAAAACATCCGTTTAAATCAACGAGAAATCCAATCCAACTCGTCGAAGTAAACACGGGACAGTTAATGATATTCATTACAAGCGCACCATTTAAGATAAGCAGAAGACTTGCCATAATTTATAGTGTTTTGCTTTCTTTTCATTAATGTTTTTTTAAATGTAAATGAATCAAAAGTCACACGATCTTTTTTTAAATTTACAATCCTTTGATGCTTATGGGATTTACACCTTACAAGAGTTGAATGATTTTATCTTCAGTTCTGAGACCTCAGTTTACAGCTATTAGACGCCCCTTCTAATAAACGCCTCCTGTCTAATAGACGACCCCTGTGACAGTTACTCCAAGATGGGGTCTATAACTGGCCACAGAATAGCCTATAATGGGGTAGGGGCTCTGAGAGGCCAGCCGCACATTCACATGAAGAATCCGAATCCACCATGAAGAATGAGATCGAGCGCCGTTTTAGGGTAAAAATGCGTTAAAAGTGGGCAATTGTACCATTTTTTAGATGTTCAAAAATCCTAGGAGAAGCAGGCAAGCAAGAAATTTTACAACAAATGTTCCGAAAATTCTAGATCTCAAATCGTCTTTCCAAAAACTGAAGTACAGTTCTCGGTAAACGAAGAATTTAGAAGGAAATACAGGAAAAAATACAGGAAAAAAAGGAAATTGGGAAATTTCTGAACTAGCTCAGGAATCAGAACTGAGAATAACCCATCTACATTTCGTGCAGATCAGCAGTCCTCATTCAAAAATCGTTTCTCGCTTGTCGCTCGCGAGAGTGGAATTTGTAGCTCGAGATAATAAACATCCAACGCTTTGAATGGATAAGTACAGTGTCAAGGAAGGTTTTGACCTTACTTGAGAGCGCACTTCGGCACCTTGAGGTTTTGAAGTTTCTGTGGCAACTAAGTACAACTAGTCAAGATCAGTCAAGTGAAAAAGGACCCGTACACACAAGCTAGTCGCAAGTGCACTTCAAATGCACTTCACAGTGCACTTGAAAATTCCAGTGTGAGCCCCCCCAGAGGCTGAAGTACACAGAATCCTATTCTCTACTTGCCTTCGAGTCTATGAGCTCTATGTGGCTTGCTTCTGTCATGGACTTTCGTGCCTCGATCAGTCTTCTGGTCCGTGTCCGCTTATAGGATCCCTTAAAGCTATTTCTCGCAATTCTACCGTCAGAATGTTGAGCAGCGTGTACAGATGTAAGATAATTTGAGCTGTGGGGTAGGGAGAGGTACTTCTTAACTGGGTACATACCGTTGGAAAGGTGTCCACGGCAGGAGTAACTATATCAGTATAGTTACTAGAATGGAGTTGCACTTTTTCGGCGGTTTACTTAGTAAATTCTGAACATAAGATGTTTGGGCATAACACTAAAAGTGAAGGTTTGCGATAGATCAAGTAGTCAGTGTATTTTAATTTTGTTGTTTTAATAGGAATGACGTTTCGACGACAACTTGTAAATGTGCGGTCGTCATCTTCAGAGTCAAAGTGTGTTGTCTATCTGAGTATGTTGATGGATTTTAACTGATTCATTAACAGACGATTTTACTTAATAGTGCGGTATTGATAGTTATAGAATTTATGTGACCATATTTGTGGGTGTAGCTAAACTAAAATACGAAAGACATCAAAGGAAGAAGAGAGATTTTAATTGCAGTTATCATGTAATTTTGATCCATCTTGTTTACTGCGTACAGCAAATAGTCTCTGTTTTACATTACGTCATAAAAGTTACCTTACACTACCTTAAGTAACATTGCTTCGAGTTCTGCCTCGGAACCTTCGCGCACGTGTTCCCTCAAGAGCAATGCGTTCTATGTTCTGCATCACGTCATAAAAGATACCTTTACTACCTTAGGTTACATCGCTTCGAGATTCACTCTTCCTTGGAACTCGCGCACGGCTTTATTATGCTGCGCCTTACAGCTTCGCGTCGTTGCGAGGCTGCTCGTTGGCAATTACATGAAGCTAGGTGTGTTTTATTTGACTGAGCCATAAATAAATGTTTTGTTTATCTCTTCATTTTTACTAGCTCTCTTGAACATTTATTGGCCAAACGTAATTCTCTAACACTGTCTCTTTGTCCCTAGATTTCTAATTCTAGCCCAAGTATCCGTTTCCGATTTTATATGTGCAATACTGTAATAATGTAGTTAGTTTTGTGCGTGAGGACATGAAAGATTTCAGGTGTAAGAAAACATGGATGCCAGGCAAAGTGGTGGTCAAGACAGGTTCAGTGTCCGCTCGAATCCATTTGGACGATTGGTTCAGTCATCCCACGATACCAAGACCATGTTCGAGTACGCGAAAGTGAAGCCGCTGCAGATACAGTTGCCAGTGGGGTACCAGATGACAATTTCCAGCCCACTGATGTCCCTTTACCCAACACCAGTAGTTAAGACACCTCTAAGCCTCCGTCCACATCACCTGTCAAGTCACCTGTAAAGTAAACATGGCTTCACACTCGTTGACAAAGTACATTACTTGAAGTAAAAGATGTCAATCTTCTTGTAACTGCTGCTCGTGCACATCGTGCACATGGCTTCCATTTATTATTGGTTAAGTGTGTTCCCAAATGTGGTGTAGACCATAGTTTAGGGCGAAAGTCGGCTTCTTTGAAGACCATGAACGTTTCCATGGTCACCAAGTAAAGCTGAAGTAGGTAAATT